TGACAACAGAAGAAACACAAGCAGCAGAGAAGTACTGGCTTCACCAGGCCCAGGCATCTCAGGATGTCAAGTCAGATGTTGCACTGAAGGATGAGGATGGAATATTAAGATGTTTTGGAAGAGTGAAGGATTACAACCCAATCTTTCTTCCCTGAAGTTGCAAGCTAGCCTTCCTTATTGTGAAACAACTCTGTGAGCAGATGATGCACAGGGGAGTCTCAATAACCTTATGTCGCATGCAAGAGAAGTTTTGGGTACCCAAGTTAAGAGTGCTGACTAAGAAGGTGATACAAGACTGTACAGTTTGCAAATGCTATTGGTGGAAGCCATTGTCCACTTCACCTATCTTGGAGTGTATATTGCCACTTTTCAGAACCCAACTATCAGACACTTTTGTCATGACGTGGGTAGATTTTGCAGGACCAGTGTACTATAAGATTACAAAGTCAAGTACAGCAAAGGCATACATCGCACTGTTCACTTGTGCTAGCATCAGAGCAGTCCATTTGAAGCTATGTCACAATCTGTCCACCACATAATTTCAGAGAGCCTTAAAGGAATTTACTGCTAGACGAGGATGTCCCCTTGGTGGGGAGGCTTCTTTGAGTGCCTAATTGGCATTATGAAAAGGTGTATGTCTTAAGTGATTGGCTGAAGTCTACTCAGCTATGAAGAGTTGCAAGAAGTCCTGTTAGACATTGAAATCTGCATGAACAACAGACCATTGTTTTATCAGGGAGAGGAATTTGAGCAAACAGTTTTCACCCCAAACATGTCACTCAGAGGGAGGCCAAACCCCATCTTAGAGGAGGATCTTGAGAAGATTGGAGAGGAAGAAGTAACCAGACAAATGAGGTTTCTGCAGAAAAACAAAGAACATGTTTGAAAGAGATTCGTGAAGGAGTATGTGCACGCCCTTGAAGAAAGACAGCAACTGCCCACCAGTAACATTGCTGAAATCCCAAACACAGGAGCGCTGGTGTTGCTTAAAGATGAAACCAAGAATAGAGCACTGTGGAAGCTTGCACGAATGGTAGGAAAGGTCACAGGCAAGGATGGAACAGTCTGAGGATTGAAGCTTAAACAAGGGAATGGTTACATTGTGGAGCACCCCTTGCAACTCATATGTAAACTAGAAATTGGAGGAGAGGATTCTGACTGCCAGCCAAACCCAGAAGCAGTAGTGTTCAGACCAAGATTGAAACCAAGTAGAAGATCCAAGGAGATTGCAAACGAGAGAATCAAGGACATTGTTTCACAAGAAGTTTAAGAACATTTAAGCTGATTAACACTTAAATAGGGGGAGGGTGTCGTGACTGTTTTTTTTTGGGGGTTGCGTGACTGACAACCTCGTTTTGAAATTGTGAGCCTCGGTTCAAATTAAGTACCTCGTGGAAAATACACATCGGTGACGTTTTGAGAGAGGGGAGATTTTGAGTTGTGTACAACATTTTGTGAAGATTAAACCTTTAATGCGAGAAAGTAGAGTGAGTTATTTGGTTTCTCTAGAAAACGGAATTTTGGTTCCCACAGTCCAAAAATTATAATCTTTGTTGGTCCACTCCATGCATTTGTTTTTTCTTATGCAGGATAAAATCTAGTCAGTTCCTATTGTCATGTTCATTCTTACTGTTAACTATGCCAACTCCCCCATTGTAAATTACAAAAGAACCTTCCACCATCTAAAAGAATCACTGACTCCCCACTTTACCTGTACTATGTATATATATATATATATATATATATATATATATATAGATGAATGTGGGGGTAGAGTCTACCTTGGCATGAAGTGCTCAATGCTGTGGTAGCAGAGCTAAGTATACACAAGTTAAAGAATTAAAGAGTACACATCGATTCTCTGTGACTCTGAGTTTCACGCCTAAGCACTCGTCAAACAGAACTTTTCACTGATTGAAGTGACTTTAAATAAAAAACCTGGAGTGAGGTGTCTCCACTATACAGATCCCAAATTTTACGTCGACGCACATCAATACCACTTCCTGGATGCTGAAATGTAAAAATATTGAACTGATCCAATAATGTAGAAAAAATAAGATAGATCCACCAGTGAAAGGTGAATCTCGATTAAAAATTAAAATCATCAAGTCTAGTTAGTTCAAAGATGTTGTAAAAGATAGCACATGAAT